CACTATACTCTTGTACGTTCCCTTCTTTGCCTCTATGGATAATGTTTTTTGTCTCACAGATACCTTTAATGCCTCAACTCACCTTTTTTCCTTGATCACTTCTATGGTTTTAAACACATCCTTCATAAAACCATCTGCTGACAAGCCTACTCCCAAATTTTCTGAACACATTCACTTTTTCCATACTTCCTCCCTCCAATGTGATATCCAATTTTTCTTTACTTAACTCATTTGATGCCCCTCATCACCTTGCTCTTTTTCTATGTTCACTTTCAACTTTCCTCCTTTACACATGCTCCCAAACTCGTCCACAACGAGCTAGACAAAGAAGAACCTGAAGAAAAATTTAACATTGCAATAGTTATGTGAGCAGTTCCATATTATTGGTAAAGTTGCAGATTTTTTCACAATTCTAGAAGCACTCAGTGCTGTATAGCCCTTGTGGCTTAACACTTCTTTTTGATTATAATAATAATCTAGAAGCACTGCTCTGAAATGAGGTCTAGAGCAGCTGATGATGCCTTACCATCAGCTGTGTCAAATACTGAACCTATTGTAACATGAGATTTCCTTGTAAGTATTGTCTTGATGGCACACATATTATGGGCATTAAAAATGCACATTACAGTATATGTACATGGTATTTTTAACCCAGGATAATCCAAGCAATCCAAACAATGTGCCTTATTTCCATGTTTCAAGAGGAATTACACCCTGACTCAATTGTAATATCATAAGATTTCCTTGTATATAGTTTTTGAGGAGAAAAGCAATCAAAAGAAATAAGGGGAAAACAATTATTTGCATGAATTTATATTGTATATTTCAAGTGGAGTTAAGTATCTTCCCATGTTTTGAGTACTAAAAGCATCTTCCCATGTTTTGAGTACTAAAAGCATCTTCCCATGTCTTGAGTGCTAAAACACCTTGAAACACATCTATCAGCATAAGAAACTAGTACGTATGCAGTGTTTGACACTAAAATAATAATAATAATAAAAAAAAAAAAAAATTGCTTAGTGGAACTGAAACACTGTTGCTCACAGCACATCATTTTTCACCAACTTCAGCATGCCACAAAATGGTAAGTCACTATCAGAATTCCTTCTCCCCTGTCGTATTCTACTTAGAATTTTTTTTTTTAATCCATAAGAAAAAAATTTGCTTTTCATTTTCAAAAATTTGCCACAACACCTGCATTATTTTTATTTTTGGGCATGTTGCATTTAAAGGGTTCATATGGGTGAAAGTAACTAAATGAGGTTATTATTTATGAAAATCATAGTATGCACAGCATTTTAGGTGACTAATACTAATAGCATGCAAATGAGAAATAATGCAAGATGCCAAAAGTACTAAGCAACAATACAATGTTATGGAACTTGAAGTGGGTTATTTTGTAGTCAAAATTTTTATATTCATAAGAATAATGAAAATGACATAACAGTAGATGTACAGTAATACTGTAGTTAATTTAATCAGCTGAAATATAAAGTGATGAAAGTGTAATACTAATGAATCTGGCATTAATAAATGGTTTACATTTTGAAACACTGTACCTAGTTTATGGGATAAAATATAAGACAGTAATGTAAACCACTGGAATGATAATATTATTGATCAATTGGATGTTAAAAATTGTAAAGAAATGTTTTCAAGACTGACTAAGATTAAAAGATTAGAGAATTATTCTGAACTATGGTAAAAATATTCAAGTGTTTATTCAACAAATTTTACATTACTAAAGGGTTTTGGTATCCTGGTCCCGAACATCTGTTTAATAAATTTGTCATGTACATTAGACTGTATTAGTGGTGAATCTTGCATGCATGCAGCAGTGTGCTTAGAGAAATGGTATGGAGCCATCCAAAGGATGAGCATCAAGACAAGCATGGTGGCCTGGTTTGTGGACATGGCTTCCACCCTGGATTCTCTTCATCATTCCACCGCCAATGGGCTCATGACGAAACATATAGTCACCGTACTGAGCTAGAGCTTTCTTGCCAGGATTCCAAGGACCAGGTAACCAGTTGGAGCCCACACGTACAAAAGAACTGAGGTAGCATGAAGGTGGCATTTTCTTTTCGCTTTTGTTCAGTGTCAAGTTCTTCTGGATTGATTTTGCAACTTTAATTGGTGTTGGGATGTGTCCATGCTGAAGACACACCAGATTGTCTGGATATTTGTTCAGTTTTTCCAGTGTTCCCAATGATGGCATTGTTTTCCTGCCCCATAAATCCAATGCAAATCCCCCCTGACTAGTTGCATAAATATATTTACTTACAACAGATTTATTCCCTTTGTTGGCTTGATCACTAAAGTATGGAGAGAGACCAAGTCGTCTCATCCGTTGTTTATTTCTGATAAACACTTCTGCATCTGAATTTCTATAATATGCATCATCATCAAAATCCCAGGAAGACCATCTTTAAATTTCAAAGCACCTAAAAGAGTACCAGAGCTAATTTCATATGGTACTCTGTTCTCTTTTGCAATTATATCAACAGTGTTTAACATTTTATTCTTCAGTTTTAAACAACAGGTGGAGGATGTAATATTTACTTTAATATTAGCCTACAATCGTAATGTACTTTTCGGCAATTGTACTCA